GAAGACACAACATGAAAATTTAGTATTTAAGTAACAGAAGAATTTTAACTTCAATATGACCAAGAAATAAGATATAAGTAATTATTGAAAATCATTAAGAAACAGTATAAAGGGTAAATGATCAAAGACCACGAAGAACTAGTAAAGAAAAAGGAGCTGTGAGTGCCAGGAAACTCGGACTCACACATCAGCTTCACTAGTGACAAAACAGGAGGAAAGTATGCAAGACAATATGACTTTCTCCTTCAGAGTGACAAAAATTAGCAATCTGTGGAGTTGTTATGAACAGAAAAGACGAATGTGGTCTCTTGTCATGGCAAGGAAGCAGCCTGTGGAAACCTTCCCCATGGAGGACACAATCCAAGCCCCTGTGTGTACACATGGAACTGACCAGGGTTCCCTATTTAGGTTAGAGCTAAAATGGTCCCCAAAGCCCCTGGTGTTGGGACGATGACTAGGTCATGGGGGTGCAAGAGCTGCCCTGCCATTACTAGGTGGGGTCTTGTTGGAAGAGGGGTCACCAGCTCCTACCTTGAGTCTGACTTTTGACTGCTATGGGATGAGAAGCTTTCATCCACCACCTGCTTCTGCTTGGAGCCAGCTGACCATGCAAGGATGGCAGCTTTTATAACAGGAGCCAAATTAAACCTCCCCCCCCCCCTTTATGTCATGAGTGTTGGGTATTCTGACTCAGCAACAAGGAAAGTGACTAAAACAATCTTAAATGTCATGTGTGGTATTTTTTCCCTTTTAGGTACATACCCATGATAAAGTTAACTTATCAGTTAAGCACAATAAGAGATTGACACCATAGCTAATAATAAAATGGAACAATGATAAAGTACTATAACAAAGGTTATGTGAGTACAGTATCTCTGTCTCAAAATAGTGCACTTGCATATTTTAACTTAAAAGGATCACTTTATAGTTTCTCTTTGGCATATTCAAATTTCCAGGAACATGACTCTTGTGCTTTAGGACAATTAGTAAATTAAATACAGTATCGCAAGCTCTGTGGTACCGACCCAGTCAATCTGATAACCAAAATGACCATGAAGTGCCCAACAGGTTGGTAGATATGTAGCACAGATATGGCAAGGGTTCACTATGCCCCAAGTGGGATGAAGCAGGATGGCTTCATGATGCTGTTCAGAATGCTTCACAACTTAGAATGCAACAGTTACTCATTTCTGCAATTTTCCACTTATCATCTTCAGATTTGACTAAGGGTAATTAAAGCCTTGGATAAGGGCTGACAAGTTAACTGGAAAATGGGGGGCACCGTACTCACAGTAGAATGATGAGTTTACACCTGAAAGTGCTGTTAGGAGACAGGGCCCTGTTGGAAGAAATAGGTCCCAGGAGCCATGACCTGGAAGGGTCCATTCTTGTCCCTGACTCCTCCCAACTCTGCTTCCTGGCTGCTGTGAACTGAGCAGCTTTCCTCTGCTTCCATTTCTGCCTTGAAGCCAGCAGACCACAGACTAAATCCTCTGAGTCCATGAGCCAAATAAACCTCTCCTTTATGTTGTGTGGATTAGGTCTTTTGCCCCAGCAGTGAGAATGCAACCAATACAGTGGTAGAGCACTTGCCTAGCGTTTGCAAATACTTGAGTTAGATCCATAGCACAAGAAAGACAGGAAGACAGAAAGGTAGAAGGAGATGTCTTCATGAACAGAGCCCCCTGGTCCTGGTGATCCGCTGTGTATGACTACACTTCTTTCAGTTGCCCTGTAAGGTCATGCCAGCTGAAAGCAATGAACACCTTTTGTTTTTATGATACTTCTTCCTTACATAAAACATGGAAAATGTAAAAGTTTCCCGAGCCTACACAAGCACTGCCACTTCGTGTGAAGCCCAGCCCATTACTAGTGAATCTGGAAAAGTACTGAGTGTGCTGGGTCTGAAGCTTGGACTCTATGTAACAGAAATCCTCAGAGCATCAGAACATGAACTGAAGAAAGCAGATACTTACTGAAAGTTGTGATTTGGGCTGTGCGTTGGACCTGAAAGGACAAAACAGAGAGACAAGTCACTAAGAGCTCAAGATTCAGAACATAACCATGCCCCAGTCAAGTGAAGGGTAATTGAGACAGGAGCCGAGGGTCTCATCTGTGGCCCATTGAGTCTAGCTTGGGCTCTACTCTGCTTGAGAAGAGTTTCAAAAAGACGAGGCAAAGGCTACTTTCTGTTTTTGTATACTTGGGAGACAGTTTTGGGGGTTTTGTGCTCCTTTCTCCCTTTCCTTGCCTAAGCTTCATACACAAAGATGAATGGTTTTATTAACTTTAATTGTATAAGGTGAGTTTGTATGACAGGCTGGGGCATTCATCACCTGGCCCTTCCCATAATTGGGACTAAAGGGCACATTCCTTCCTGCCATGCATTCTTTCTCCAAGTGAGAAGCTCAGAAGTTCAAAACTGTCATCACTCTGCCCTCTTAGTCCAGATGAGCCAGGTGTGCATGGGACACAGAGGTCAGAAGCTGACGCAGGGTACGGCCAGCAAGCTCAGGCCAGTGCAGCAAACACCTGACCTCAAGTTCCTAGCTCGCCTTGCCCATGTGCAGGTCTTCTCTGCACTCTGGGTTCACTGACCACTCCATCTTTGTCTATTTTCTTCCAGTACTCATAAATGGGTAGTGGGCACGTGGAGATCTCACCCACAAGGGGAAAGGCCTTGAGCAATGGTTTTATTGATTTCTTCTCATATTGATGTGTGTTTAGTTTCAAATAACAAATTAATCTTGTGCTCACTTTCTGTGAATGCCCCTTCTGTTACCTCACAAGCAAACCATCCGACTAACCGAGCCGCACGTAGAGGACGCCAGTGGCAGTGATGGTCTTCACCCCATTGGTGGCCACACACTGGTAGTAGCCAGTGTCTGTGGTGTCCAGGTCTTGGATTCTGAGTCGAGAGCCGTATTCTGTCTTCCGGATGATGATCCGTCTGGGCTCCTGCACAACTGGGGCATCGTTCTTCAGCCATCGTACGTTGGGGGGTGGGTTTCCTGCCACCTTGCAGTGCAGGATTGCTGTCTGGCCCTGGACAATGGTGATGTTGTTCACTGGCTCCAGAAAATTCAAAAAGTAATCTGCCAAGGAGGTGGGTCACAAAGAGCAAATATCAGCAGGGCCCGAGAAGCCCCAAGGCTCCTGCACAAGCTACTAGGGTGGGCAAGTTTTTATTCACTTATTTCTGCATGCATGACCAATTTCAGTTGTAGGCAGCAGCAGCACTGCACCCTCGAATACTTCAGTGAACACTAAGTTAGTGGACATGAGCTGCTGCAGAGGGAAACACAGGGTCAGTTTCCTGCAGCCTTGGGTCACAATGTTTTGTTAACTGATTAATACATAACTTGTTTCTGCTGAAAGACTCCTTATTTAACACACTTCATTATTCATTTTCATAAAGCTCACAGTCAGTATCAGTGTAACTCCTGCCTGAATGAAACTCCTCTAATACACACATTGTCTACAGAAGGCACACCACAGACTACACACGCTGGACACCACTTCAGCATTGTTTGGAGAGCCTGTGAAATATAGGAATCATCAGCAAAAAAGGACAAAGGTCCCAATACTGTGACATTAGGCCAGGCCAAGGGAAGTATGTGAGTTCACAGCATGGAAGATGAAACCAGGAAACACCATTGCTTTGTTCAGCCACAGCTGGGAGTGTTTGTCTTCAGTATCATTGTGGAGGACACAAGAACATGAGTGCTGACTGCAGGCTGTGAATACGCTCTACTCATTCGGTGACCCTCTACTGCACAATAAGCTAATAACGGGGTTCAATTGTACTCTACTGGCCCAAAACTAACCCTAATCTGGGCTGGTCAGTATGATGTACATTCTATACCTGCTTAAATACAGAGTCACATTAAATAAAATACATAAGGAAAATGTGGCAAAACACAGACACCCACCAGCAAGCTCATCATTGTCCTGTTACTAGAAGAGAAACAACACTGAGGAGACGAGAGGCTTTGTCTTGCTGTACTCTGGTCAGGAGGAGGGCAGGGCTCATGAAGCTGAGGGCAGGCAGGGCCTCATGGGACCTAATCTGGGAGCAGGCAGAGAAGTTTCTAAGGAAGGAGCTGGAAATGCCACACCTTTGTGTGTGGAGGCTCCAGACAAACCAGGGCTTGAGGTGTGGGGGATGAGAGAAGTCAGAAGAGCAGAGGGAGATCAATGTGTTTGTTTGCATACACGTGGGCACATGTAAGTGTGCATCTCTGTGTGTACACATGTGTGGTCTTTGTGTGCACACATCTGGGTGAGTGATCAGGGTGGACAGGGTGTGCTCTTAAGATAAACAAGCAAATGAACATCTATAACAGTGCAAGGAAACTAATTTTAGATATAACCGATCATGAGCAGATGAATTTATGGCAAGCAAAACCAATCTATTAATCTAAAGCAATTTTAAAATACATTCAGTTTTCTTACATAAGATGGCGTAATGCTTTCAGCCAACCTACACATATCCTCCTATGTACAAGGCATCTCTACATTGCTTGTAATACCTAAGAGAATGTAAATCCTTGGTAATAGCTGTTAAATTGTTTAAAGAATAAGAAGAAAAAAATTACACACATTCAATGCAGACACCTTTTTAAAAAACATTTTGATCTACAGTTGGTTGAATCTATAAATGCAAAGCCCGCAGGTGTAGGATGTCAACTATACATTCACTTTTGGAAACTTCTGGCTTGCTTTGGGCTTGGCCCCAGTCTTGGTTCTCAAAGGAAGCTGAAAGATGGCACTTATCTCTTTGCTCATTTAGCTGAAAAAATTAGGGATTTCTAGCTGACTGTGTAGCTGAGAAATACTGTTGGATGGCCATTGACCTAGTGTTGAGTGGGAGAAAGTAGAGTTGAAGATGAGGCGAAAGCGTTCAATCACAGAGGTTGACTGCAAAGGAGTTGCTAATTAACACAGATTACTAATTATGATTGCTATTAGCAACATCATTAGATTCCACTTTGACTGTATCTAAGCCAAACCTTTTTTATTTTTATTTTCAGACAAAGTTTCACTAAGTTGCATAGTGTGGGATCCAACTTGGAATGCTCCTCAGCAGGCAAGGAAGTGGTGCCGCAAGCCAAGCTCCCTCTTCTCCCTACTGTATGCAGTTATGTTATAGAAGGTACTTCTTACAGCTCACACAGCTGGAAGGTAACTAAAATATTGACAGTGCTCAGAAAGTGAGGCTGAAGCACAGGATCCAGTCCTAGATATATATTCTCAACTAACTGAGCTGCACCAGTGCTACACTGGAAGCCTTTTCAACTTTGTTGAACACAAGATCTCATCTGACTTAACCACACAAAGCAGATATAACCTAGGCAGTCCACCTCAGCACATCATCTTACCATGGTCTGGTCAAGCCAGATTCTCAATGGGACTGAAAATAATTTTTCTAAATGGCTGCAGTTATCTTGGAAGGTGCTGACGCAATACATATGAAAATCTGCCCCACTGAGAATGGACCAGAGTGGAGTCTCTGGCTGGCACTCAAGCCCCAACCTATACCCAGAACCAGCCACCATCAACGACCACTCAGTGGGACCCAAACCATAGGCTGATTATTAGCGAACTGGGTATATTGACAGCTCTCTTGCTCACAACAAACAAGGAAGCTAAATAGTGTAAAATGGCTAGTTCTTCTGGCAGGAGAACTTTTTTTTTGCTAGAGCACACCAGCATGTTCCTCACTGCTCAGGGGGCCAGGAGCGCTCTTTCTGCGGAGGTCTTTGCTGTTTCTCAGGGCCCAGTCTCTCCTAAGCGCCACTCCACAGAAGCAGCTCCATGGCTGCTCAGTCCAGACAACTCCATTCACACCCTCCACCAGTCTTTGGGCTGTTGCTAGAGCAGCATCACACCTGCTAGATGGTGAAGAAGGAAGTGCATGTGGACAAAGATCGGAATGCCTGCTACGTGTGTGTGTGTGTGTGTGCGTGCGTGTGTGTTCTTTAGATTTTAGAATCACTTCAATAACTTCCATTTGAAAAGCAGGGATTTGAGGGATAAAGACCTGTACATGACAGGTGATTTGTGTGAGTGGCCCTCTGGACAACTCTGGGAAGGAACAGACCATGTCTGCATTTTAGACCTACAGCAGCTCTACTCAGTACTTTTCCTTGTACACGTTTTCCCTTACTATATTAAATTTTATTTCTATTATTTTCCTGTGGTGTAGGGATACAGAAAAACTATAAGCTAGAAAAATTTTCTACATTATACTGATTTCCTATTTCACTATAACAAATAACCAAAACCTTAGTGGTATAAAACAAAATAGATTTATTATTACACTCAGATGTCAAGAACCCTAACACCAACGTCTTACCGAAGCTCTTGTGAGAATCTGGTTTCTTGCCTCACCAACCTGCCAGAGGCTACCATTCTTCCTGGCTCAGGGCCTTTCCCTTGCATCTTTACTTCCCCCAACACACCTCCTGCTGCAGACTGGTCCTGCTCTCCCCCTATGCTGATGACGCCGGGCTGCACTGGGCCCATAAGCAGAACTTTTCCATCTCATGGACCTTAATCCCATCTATAGAATCCCTGCAACAACACAATTGCAGGTCAGTACATGGACAACTTTGGGGCATCCACCACACAGATCTGTCTACCACACAGATTGTTCCTTTTACTGAGTACTCTTTTGAGCTATTTTTATCAGTCAACATAATTTCCAACTTGATTGTCTTGTATTTTCTCCATAATTATTGTCTGCTTCAAATAATTATTGTCTGTTAGATATCTGTTCTATCTAACAATGTTGTTCTTGAATTAAAAAAATTCTAGATATTGAAGTGTTGCAAAGGTACAGAATATGATATATACCCAGACATATAATACCAAAACTTTATGGTAATGTTTTAAATGCAATGGCTTTGAACATATAAAAAGCTTTATAATGAAGTTGAAAGCCACTGATCCCTTTGTTCCCTTTCCAGTAAACTATTGTGCATCATTCCAATGAATATTTATCTATTTTAGAAATAGTTTTACATATTTTCCTCAGAAGATCATCTTTACTAGTTACTTTTTCCATTCAAAGTCATCTAAGTCATCTTAAACAGACAATAGTACTTTTAATTACTGTGCAAACACCTATTTTGTATAAGTGAACCACAATTCATTTATCCATTTCCTAACCAAAGGACAAGCTACTTCCATATTTGCTTCTTGGCTATCTGTAAACATGGCTCTCCCCATTCATGTATAAGAGTATCTCAGAAATTTCCACCTGGTTACAGAAGAAGTCACAGAGCCTCAGACTCCTTAATTCATCTACATCTCAGAAGTATTTGAAACAATGTATATGCCATTGACAACATCTAGATCAAAAGCATTTACCCACAACTTCACAAACACTTGCCTTTCCTTGAGGCTCCCCCTCTTTTGAATGTTTCTTGACCACTGGGGCTTCCCTTCTGCAACTCTTCATATCACCATTCTTTTACTCTTTTCTTTAACTTCTACAGTTAGTTTCTATTCTTTTATTTTTCTCCAGTGTGTGCATGAAACAGTACATTTTCCTTCAGCTTCTTTAGATATCCCAAGAAATTATTTATTCTTCATTTGTTTGGATGAGTGACTTATTTATTTACTTTAGGTATAAGTTATGTGACCATTAATTGTGATACGTCAACTTGACTGGATTAAGAAACACCTCACAGATTAGTGAAACACAGTTCTGGGTGTGCACATGGGTTATGTCCAGAGAGGACTGGCAATTTATAAGTCTGCTAAATGTGGGGGAATTTCTTTTTAAACTTATGATCTTATTTTCTCCTTTTTATTTGTCACAGAGTCTCGCTACACAGTTCAGACTCACAGTGATCCTCCTGTCTCAACCTCACCATTCTTAGTTTCGGGAACAGCACAGCATGTGGTACTAGAGATCAAATGCAGACCCTTGCACTTGCCAGGCAAGCATTTAGGCTGTTGAGCTACCTTACCCAGCCCCTTAATTTCTTCTTGAGATAAAATAGCCAACACCTAAAGTTAAAGGAAGAAAAGTAGGCTGACATGGGGAGAGTATGGCTGAGAAGATATAGTCGATGACCAGGCTCGC